TGTCTATATAAACTTACTTGAAGTCAAACCAAAACCCAGATGCTTGAAAACTACGGTTTTACTCCGTCTAGCTAGCTGTTGGGGAGGAAGAGAGAAGATGCAGCCGCTCCTACCAGAGCTTCCCAATCTCTTCCAAACCTGAACCGCCCTCCTTTAGGAGTCAAAAGACACCTCCCGAGCACAGAGCACCACACCCAAAACTTCACCTTTACCTGTACCTTCGAAAATCTCTAATCGGCTAGGGTTTTGGGCAGCAACAAAACAACACCACTTCTTGGCAATATCCAGCCAGATTTAAACTCTCCAAACCCTCTACCAACTAAGCTAGAGATCCTCTGAACTATAGAGAACCTATCTCTCCATACACTCTCTTAATCTAAGGGTGTATGGGAAAAGAGGAAGAAAAAAAAAGGAAGAAATAGACCTGCTCCGATACCAAAAAATTGCAGACAGAGAAAAGAAAGAATAACAGAACAAGCTACAAAGTTCTGGTTAGTGTGCAAAAAAAATTATACTAGCACAGTTAGGTGTAATTTCAAAAAGTATCAACACTGAAACTGAAGAGATAAACAAGAAAAACAGATGGAAATGAAACAACAAACCATTTTCAATGAATGGGAATTAAAATAAATAGATAAACAAAGAATATGAGCTGGCTTACAATATCAAATTCAGATGAAATATGGGAGTATTCACCCATGAACCAAACCTGGACGTCAGAGGAAGCATAAAACAATTTGAGTAGTGGTTCTAAATTACATGATAATCTCTAGGAAAGACAAGATGCCACAGAACTTGTAAAATGGAAGAAAGAAAAGAAAACACACAGATAATTTTAAACCATTACAAACAAGTGGTGTCACAAAGAATACCAAAAAAAGAAAAAGCGGGTTAGCCATGTTGATATAGTGAGCATTGGTATGAAACTTCTTGTAACATACTGATGATGTTTCAAGCTAAATGCAGAAAAAAGGTTCATGAAAATAGTAGCACTCAATACTATGCCAATACTTTGATTTTACAATTTCTTTACTTCTTTTATTTTTACTACAGTATGGTCCTACCAATGGACTGAAGTAGTCTCCCAAAGCTTGATTTAACAAATTCAATAAGGTTGTTCAACAGGTGGGTTTCAAGCAATGCCTATTAGACCACTCATTTGTTTGTGAAGTGAGAGTAAGATAGTTGTATTGATTGTGTATGTAGAAGATATAGTCATAATTGGCAATTGGGAGCTAGGGATAGTGAAGTTGAAGGAATTTCTTGCCTCTTAGTTTGAGGTAAAAGATCTAGGTCACCTTCAATACTTACTAGATTTTCTACAGGATTCTGGAAAGTTGGGATCCAAACCAGAAGACACCCATTGAACAAAACCATGGACCTTGGATATAGTGATGGAGAACCCCTTTCAGATGTTAAACGGTATAAGAGATTGGTTGGGAGAATACTGTATTTATCTATACATAGCCAGATATTTCCTATGCAGTAAGTGTTCTAAGATAGCATACCTTGCAGCTGGCATGACTGTCTTTGTATTTTCTTTGTTGTCTGTATGGCCTATAGTCATTGTATCATATTTGTATTTTTCTCTCCTTATTTTTTCCCTCTTTTGCTCCTCTTTGTAGGGTTCTCCAATGATATCTCATCACTTCCAGATGTACTGCTCTTTTATCTTAATAAAATTTCTTTTTATTGATTACGAAAAAGTCTATACTAATGATGTTGGGCTGGATCCATAGATGAACATAGGTCTACTTCAAGTTATTATAACTTTGTTGGAGGTAATTAGTGGCATGGAGAACTAAAAAAAAAACAATCTATAATGGTCAGATCTAGTTCTAAAGTCCAGTACTGTACCATGGATCGTGGGGTGGCACAAGTGTTGTGGATTAAGAACTTGTTAGGAGAATTGGTTTTAGTGTGGAAGGTCTTGTGTCTCTCTACTGTGACACCAAGGCATCCATTAATATAGTTGCAAATCCTGTCTTGCATGATAGCACAAAGCACATAGAGATTGACAAGCATTTTATAAGGGAGAAGATTGACAAGAAGGGGAAAGTGTGTACTCCCTATGTCCATTCTAAAGAACAATTGGCCGATGTACTTACTAAGGGTGTGAATACCCTGAGAGGGAGTGTTGTAATATTGTAATATGTTCTCTTGTAAGCATAAGGACATATTTGTCCTTTCTTCTTTTATTACGTCACCCTAAAAAGAAATAATGTGAGTTGGCAATTACCACTCTCTCTCTCTCTCTCTCTCAAACTTCTGTCTGATTTTCTCTCTTCTCTCTCCTTCTCTCCTTCTCTAATAGGTCAATTTCTCCATCAAACTACACAACCATTGGATGGAAATTAGAGGGATGAGATCAAGTCAACAATTATGAATTGATGATGGTTTGATGGTTCCAAGGCCAAGGTTTTCCACTTGAGAGGAGATTTTAAATGGGAGTGGATATTTTAGAGTCTCAAATCCCATCTTGTTGTGAAAGGAAAAAAATAACCCCATATGTAACAAAAGTAAGAAAACTTGGTTGGGTGGAGTGGAATTGAAGCATTAAATGAGGGGATTTTTGTCCTTTACTACCAAATATGGTATCTGAAGATCCAAACTGGTCTCCACTTTTCCATTTTTTCAGCAATTTTGGAGAGAGGGGGAAATTTTACCAAGAAGTGAACATTATTTGAAGGTTTACTGAAAAAGAACAATTATTTGAAAAAGAATTAAACCATACATCAGCCTAAAAGGTCATAATTTTACAAGGGTTTTTATGGAAATGCAATTTTTGTTAAATTTTCCATTTGCTACATTGTTAAGATTGGATTGGATTGGTCCAATAGCCATTTTATTTCAAATGTATTGGATTGAATTTTACATAATTTGGGTTGAAATTATCGGATCCTTATCAGATTGGACCAGATCCAATCCAAATCTGGTCCATTTGACAGCCCTGGTAAGGGGCTGCAGCAATGTGACCCCCTATACTGTTTTTCTTCATCATGGTGGTGGAAGCATTGATCAGGGTAGTGGGAAGAGCGGTTGATGGAGACTGAATTGAGGGATCTAAGCTGAGTGCAGATGGCCCAACAGTAGCAATTTTACATATTGCAGATGACTTCATCATCTTCACAAGAGTTCAGTAGGGAAACTTTCTATTTTTAGATGCTTGTAAGATTGTTCACATGTTTTGAGGCAATCTCAGGCTTAAAGGTGAATATTCAGAAGAGAGAGCTTATTCCAATTGGAAACATCACCAAAATTGGCAATCTGGATTAGATCTTAGCTGCAAGGTCGGTTCTTAGCCATCAAAATTTTTTGGCCCTACCCTTGGGAGCACCTTATACGTCCATTGAAACATGGGGTCATGTCATCAAGAGATTTGTCAGTAAACTCTAGCAGATTCTAGGTTGAAGTAGAGAAGAAGAAAGAAAACAAAAAGAAGAAGAAGAAGAAGAAGAAAGAAAGGTTCGGCCAGACTAGAAGAGAGTCAAAATCACTCTCCCCTAGCTGACCCACTTGTATTTATTCAAAAACACTCCCCTAGCTGACCCACTTGTATTTATTCAAAAACATAGAGTTACAAGAAAGACCATTTTGTCCCTCATAGAAGATGGGACACATAACTTAAACTCAGA